GTAATGTTATCTCATTGTAATTTTAATTCATATATTCCTAATGACTAATTAAGTTAAACATGTTTTTGTGTGTTTACAGGCCATTTTAGTACCTACTTTTGTGAAATATCCATTCAAGTCTTTTGCCCAGTTTTCCTATTATATTGCCATTTTCTTATTGACTTGAAGGATTTCTTTATTCTAGATTCAAGCCCTTTGTATATATAATAAATACCATCTCCTACTCTGTGGATGGCCTTTTCATTCCCTTGATAGTATTTTATTCTTACAATTTTATTCTTAATAATAGATTATGCATACTAATTTTTATTAGCATCCTTTGTTTCCTATTTAAGAAATCATTGCCTACTCCAAAGTCACAAAGATGTTCTGATGGATGAGGTTGAACTTAACTACTTTGTGCTTTAGTTTATCAATAAAAATTAGGCTAATAATAGTACATTGTTTAACGCTTTATTGTGAGTATATATGTATGTATACTTATATATAATTATATATACACTTATATGTGTGCATGCATATATACAGTTATGTAACATGTTTAGGATAGTATAAATGTACACATACATAATATGCTTAAGGTAGTGCTGGCACATAGTATACACTTTGAAAATATTATTGTCTGGCCTTTTCAGAAGCAAAACCCTTTATCAGTCACATCCCTATCACACAGTCCCCTCCTACTTGCCATGTGAATTTGTTTTCCTCACATGCAGACTGAAAAAATAATAGAAATAATGAGAGAAGGGGTGAAGGAGATGATGGTTGGAGATTGTACTGATAAGAGGGCAAGTTACTTAGTATAAGGGGCAACAAAGCTGGGAAAGCAATAAAAAGAGAAAACTGGTAGAAAAATCTGAAATGCCACTTATTTACTTTCTTTAAAGAAATCTTTGATAGTCCTATAATTGACTAATAGATATTTATATATTAAGTTTTTTTTTATTTCAGTACTCACTAATGCAGACATATATAATTATGGCATAAGAAGAAACTGCTTCTGCATAATATAGAAAATATACATATTTGATCTGATTCTCTAAATGCTTCTCCACCTAGACTGTCTGTGATTTGGGCATACTCTCCTTTCTAAGAATGAGGTGTGTTTTTTGTTTGTGTTACGGCATAAGAAGAGCCACTAGGAATCCTCACAGCTATAATCTATATAGGCCTTCAGAATTATATTTCTAAAGGTCAAAGACTAAGTCAATAATTTCAAGTGTCACCTTGTCCACAAATGAGGTTTTATTGTGATGGATTGTGACATAATCTGTTGACATAATAAGGCACCTATTATGTTACAGAGACAGTTGGCTGAAATAATAGTTTTCTTTATGATCATAGCAATGAATTGTCTTTCAGATATTATTGATTTCCTAGATAAGATGACTACAACTTGGATTTCACCATCAAAATAAAATTTATGAGAGAGGGTTAATTACATTCTCATGGGAGACTATAAGGACATATGTCATTTCCATGTTAGATGTTTGATGTATGCATGCCTGTATGTTGTATTTAATTTTCATACACAGAGTTTGATAAATATATATACATCAACTAGTATAAAAAGCCTTACTATCAAATAAGGTGGAGCCCTATTATTACTTGATCCAGTATGATATATACATATATATATATGTATATATATATATAATTATATCCTATGCATTCAAACTGAGCTACATAGAAGGAGGTGTCTCATATCATATTGCCAAATAGTTTAAACAACAAAGGTTGGTCCTGTTTCATGAGAATAGCGATGTAAACGGTACATTACACCAGCCTTTGTGTTGAAATACCTGCTCATTATATTTTCAACTTTTTTTCCCCTCAGTGAGTCTGAGTTTTACAGAAATTAAGCATTTTCTTGTGGGGTGCAATGCATTTTGGCCAAATTTCTGCTTGTATTTCCCAATAACTTCTGGGTATCCCAAGGTGAAGAGAAATGTTTCCCAAAAGTAGCTGCAGCAGCAAAATCTGGAATAAGGTGACAAAGTGTTGAAAAACTGCAGAAAATGCACTCTGTCCCATTCATTTCCCATTTGCAAAAACTTGCTTTGAAGCAATCAACCTTGGTGAGGCAATATTAAAAGCAGGTTTTAAAAGTAAAAACAGCAAGGTTAAGGTGAGGGAATTGATGAAAACATAGTTTATATTTATTCAGAAGTACTTTAAAACAATCTGTGTTTAACATGGCAAATTGTCTGTCATTAAAATGCTAATGAAATGGTAAACAGCTGCTAAGTTTTTTATGCTAATGAAGGGTGGCAGTTTAGTAGCTCTCAAGCCTTGAGTTTATTAGCATAGAAATTTGATTGGATAAGGGGATCATTGTACATTCTGACCTTTGTTGATGGAGCAATCTGTTTGTCAAGTTCCGTGTTCCGTTCTGTTTGATTTTAGTTTGTTAGTGCTCTTGCCAGGCCCTCAGGGGCCTTGTATTACATAGTTGTTATCCAGCCACCATCATTAGCTTAGGATTTTCTTTTGTGGTGGGGAGACCTACCATGGCAAAATAATTATACATTTGTTCATGAGGCAGCTTTAAATAGAATAATTCTGTAAAATGTTTATACTTAAGACTTTAACAATGATAATAATTGTAAATTGTAAAATGCTGTTGATCTAATAAATCTGTTTTTAACTTAGCTAAGATTTTACAGCAAAGTTTTTAAAATAAATATTTTAATAAGTGCCTTTGCAACATTTGACATATTATTATAATCATCTTGTATCTACAAGTTCTGAAAGTTAGCAATGAACATAATGTTATCTACGTAGAAGAATAAGTATAATTAAATACAGGTGGCTTACGTGGGTGCCAGGCTGAGATCAGAGTACTTACTTTGGCATCAGGAAAACAACCATTACTGTTTGATCTATACTTTTGGCTGGTTCTCTTTTTTTTCCTAATGGTTGGGGTTAACCTGAATGAAGACTTGTCATTACAGATAAATGCTTCAGGTGCCTTTCTCTTTTCTTCTGTTTTTAGGTTCAATGTAAATGAGATATGACAGTCTATTAAACACCATTGCCAATAGTGTTCTGGAATGATTCAAAATATGATGCAGAGTTCATTAAGGAAATTCATTACCAAAAATATCATTGAAATAGGAATTTTAATTATTTTGGGACACTGTATAAGAACATTGGTGGAACTTTTAATAGTTGGGAGCATTTTCCCATACTCTTCATTTCTTCTTGAAGAAGGGGATTATATGCATATAATAATTTGGGGTCCCATATAGGCATACAGGAGAAATTGGAATCCTTCCAGGGGTGGGGAACATTTTTCTGCCAAGGGCCATTTGGATATTTATAATATCATTTGTGGGCCATACAAAATTATCAGTTGAAAATAGCCTGCTATATATGGTCAAACAATTAACTCACCCCTGATGCCTTGGCAGGACCAGACCAAATGATTTCACAGGCCTTCTATGGCCCATGGGCTAGAGGTTCCCCACCCCTGTATACATGGCTGGTGGTATTGTAAAATAGTCCAGCTGTTTTGGAAAATAGTCTGGAAGTTCTCAAAAGGTTAAACCACTTGGATACCATATGATCTAACAATCCCCAATTCCACTTTTAGGTAAATACCTAAAGAACTAAAAACATATGTATATCTGAAAACTTAGAAACAAGTGTTCATAGCAGTTTTATTAAAAGAATAGGCTAAAAAGTAGAAACAACCCAATTGCCCATCAACTGATGATTGAATAAGCAAAAGGTGGTACATCTACAGTGGAATATTAGCAAGCCTTAAAAGGGAATGAAATTCAGATATATAAGACAACATGGAAGAACTTTGAACACATTATGCCAAGTGAAAGAAGACAGTCACAAAAGACCTCATACTGTATGATGTCATTTACATCAAATGCCCAGAATAGACAAATCTATAGAGGCAGAAAGTAGATTAGTGGCTGCCAGGAACTGGGGGTGTTGGGAGGAAATGGGGAGTGACTGCTAATGGGTATAGAGTTTCTTTTAGGAATTATGAAATGTTCTAAAATTGTGGTGATGGTTGCAGAACTCTGAACATGCTAAATAGCCATTGAATTATACACTTTAAGAGGCTGAATTGTCTGGAGTGCGAAATAGATCTCAAAAAAAACTGTTACATATTTTTTAAAGGCATGCAGTGCCAGAGCCTGTCTGGCAGAGCACCACCTGCACCAGCAGTAGCTTACCTGCAGTATGTGGAGGCCACCAGGTAAAGAATGCTTGCTACCAGAGAGGAGTGCTTTAAATCTCCTACACGTGGGTTAGGCCATATATCTAAAAAGGTCATAGCTAATATCATTGTTAAAAGGGATAGTTGCTAAAATAATACAAGGTTCATTAGAAACAAAAGTTGAAGATAAAAATTTGAGTTCCTGTCCCAACTCCTCTCTGTGGGACAGACACAGGTTGTAATAACCCCTTTAACCCCTCACTACCCATTTCCCACAAAGTAAAGGTCAATTTTCAGTTTGTTTTTCTAGAGAACAAATTGTTTGCATCATAACTTTCTTAGGAGCAGACAGTAACTATAAGAATCCAAGATTCCTTCCCCTTGTAAAAATCCTATAATTATCTCTGATTTGCATAAAGCATGCCTACTAGTCACCCAATAACTGTATAGTGAAGAGCATCTGGCTTCAAGAGGCTCCTCCCGTTTCTCCTACATTTTTGGCTAATCAGAAACATTGGTTAGACAACAGGATGATCTCATCCTGCCCCACCTGCCAGCAGGATCAGTGTCCTGTTTACCTCAGGGGAGACTGAGCAGCCTGGGCTCTCGCCATAGGGAAGCATTTTGCATCCCTCTCTTAGACAATGAGCAAGAAGACCCATTTTAACTGAATTTCCTCCTCTTGTGCCATTTTCTTACTTCTAGAGTAACGTTCTTGCTTGCAGGTTGCAGCTAAGCAGTCTTATTTTTGCACCCTAGGTTGGAGAAGGAGATGGATGTGAGCTAAAGATTGAGTTTATTTTTGTTTTGTTCTTGACAGGCAGTACATGCCACACTACTACCCTTCCTGCTCTTGTGCGCACACCTACTCTGATGATGCAGCCTTCACTGGATATCAAACCATTTATGTCTTTTCCAGTGGACAGTAGTTCTGCTGTTGGACTCTTTCCAAATTTTAACACAGTGAGTAAATGCATTTTTATTATGTGTCCTCCTCTATTTCTTTTGTGAATAGGCAATTGGTATGGCCTGTTTCTAAAGTGTGTAATTTTAGACCATATATTGGTTATACTGCTCAGCTATATTATAGAAGATAAATGTGATACCCATGGGAATTAACCCAGATAATAGCCAGTATATTTATTTTACAAGTATTTCCACAGGCAGATTTTCACTTGTTGCTTTGAACAATTTTGATAAACCTTTCAGTGGTGTGAGAATCCATATTATTTCTGGGATGCTGTTCACATGCTCAACAACACAATTTAGAGCTATGAGCCACATTGATTTTTCCCTTCCACTACAAAGAAAACAACATGTATGCTTTATCTCCCTGGGTATATTTTTATTTGGGAGATATTTTAGATAAGCACTCTTATATTAAAAATAAAATGTATGATAAATATTAGAGAATTACCTGTTATTACCAATGTTCTTCATTCAGGTCAGCTGACCTTCAATCTGAATAAAAGACATTTTGCAGGTTAGAGAAGTACAGCATTCTTCTGTACTTCTGCCAACAATAGAATTCAGCATAAAATCAGTCCATAATCAGATTACACATGTATAGTAAGAGAAAAGATTAAAACCAGTTGAGGTGATTGCATGAGTTATGTCTGGTTTGTCAATAAATACAATCAGTTGGGCATGATGGTCGACATAAAGAATACAGCATTATGGAAGCTGCTGTAATCAAGAAAAAGAATTACATTATCAACACCACCAGACCTCGAGCATCTGCGGTACTGCCAAATGTTTCCTCTTGCAAACTTAGCTTTTGTATGAAATGAAAACAGCAAGAGGATGATTTCTCAGAGGCTGTAAATAAAATCTGCTGACAGGCCTTCTGTTGTGGCTTTGCATTGGTAAGGTAATTAGAAGTTAGGGGATCAGCCAACTTTTTAAGGAGAACTGGCCTTGACTTACCGAGTAAACAGTTGAATGTTTTTTTCTTCCTTGGGTTTTTCAGGGACAAGTCAGACAGTACTTTTAAAAAGGCATTAAAAGGTGCGCATCATTTGTGCCGTGGAACAGCTCGGTAAGATAGATCACACCTGCCCTGGTCACATTACTCCATCAGAAGTGACCCCAAAGATGGTGCCATTTCAGGGAGCTTGAACTCAAGCATGACTGTTGTAGACTCTATTGAAACACAGGTGGCATATTCCAAACATCACTAAATTCAGTTATTTACTTCTTAAAACATTTAGCTGGTGTTAGTATTTTGATTAATGCATCTTTGGAAGACAGTGTTTGTAACTATTGCACAAGTCCAGTTGCTGTCAGGAGGTAGCATTGATGATGTAGGTAGGCACAAGTGGCTCCTCCTGTAGTTCACCTCTGTATTTTTTTTTAATACAAGTAATACATAGATACTTATTTCTAAGATTCAAATGAAACATTAACATCCAAAGAGCAAATACATATATACATATCCCATGGACACAGACAATTGTGCTGTTGGGAGGGGGTGGGAGCAGGGTGGAGGCAGTCAATGGAGGTTTAAGGGGGCATCTGTAATACTTTCAACAATAAAGATTAAAAAAAATTGTCTTAAAGAGCAAAATATGATGTTCACGATTCCCTGCTCCTGCAAACAAACTTACTCCCTTCCAGAAGTATGTTATGTACATACCTAAAAGGAACACAATCACAGTTGTCTTTTTACAATTGTGATCTAATTAGCACTATTCTCTAAGTCACTTTTTTCAGTTATCAAAGTGCCTTACATATACCTCTAAGTTCTTAAGGATTGTAAAACAAAAAAGTGGAAAGAATATGTTCATAAAGGGTTTTTTTTAAAGATAAAAATAGTGTTATAATGGCTTATAATATGTGTAGGGCTTACTCATGTACTAACTTGTCTTTTGTTTGTTTCTGTACTATACATAGTAATTAACCTTATGATACATTTGAGAATATCCAAGGAATAATTCTAGTAATAGAAGTTCTTTTTTTCTTTCCTTTCTTGGAATAAAATAAACTTGTAATTTTCCAATGGAAATACTTTTTGGTTAAGGTGAAGAATATAGCAAAGAACTATATTAAGTAATAATTTTCCCTATATATTACATCAAAGGCATTTATTAGACAGAGAGCCCTTTTGATAGTATGTTAAAAATTAAGTCATCTCAGGGGACCCTCTATCATCTTGTAACAAAATGAATTTCTAGGGTCATAGGAATTTACTATGAATTTTTTTCACTAAGCTGCAATTTTAATTACTCTAACCTTTTCTCTAGAGGTTTTTCCATTCTAGTGCTAAACTTGTCCCAACCGATTTCCTATGGTAATTTCATAAAAGTCTTTGTTAACATTTTCCTAGAAAACCATTTACATCACTAATAATAATGATACTAGATTATTATATATTTGTGATGGTTTATATCCTTCAAAGGACCCAGACTTTAGAATATTTGGGTAGACCATGATTATTATCTCTATTGTCTAGAGGAGGAAAGAGAGTTAGTAAAGGAAGAACTGAGATTTGAATTAGAATCTTCTAACTTTGAAACTCATATTCTGGCTCTTCTGTGTCATTAGCTCTTCTGGTCCATGTCACTTCCCACCTCATTCATTGTGAACAAAGCTCAATCAGAAACCTTTTGTGTTCTTTTCTGGAAGCATGGTAGCCAATTTTCACCGGAATCAAAAGGAGAAAGAGGAAAGGATTTTTTTCCCCATCACCATTTATCCCCCCATACCCTCTTGTTTGAATGCATAATGTGGACCTCTCTACAACAATATCTATGAAGCAGAAGATATTTTTAAAACAGTTATAATTTCTTATTAGCCAATTTTCGTGTCTGCCATGATGAAGTAACCGCTTGAGCTAAAGCAGACCCATTATTAGTCAATTTTAAAAGTATATTCTACTAAATATACTTATATATTCTATTAAATACACTTCCAGTAATCCACTTGTTCTTTGAAAACCGAGGTGAACACTACTTTAATCACTTTATTTTCAAACAAGGATATTAGTAAATATAAGAATTATTTTTAACTCATAGTTATCAGTAGAATGAAAACAGTGTACTTTGTGAACATAGCTAAAAGTTGAGAAATTCAAATTTTGCTATTTTTTAAAATTTTATTAAATTTATTGCGGTGACATAGGTTAATAGGGTCATATAGGTTTCAAGTATACATTTCTATGATATATTATCTATATATTGCATTATGTGACCACCTCTCAAAGTCAAATCATCTCCTGTCACCATATATTTGGTCCACTTTTTCTTTTCTTCTCCCCACCCCCTTCCCTCTAGCAACCACCATATTGTTGTCTGTGTCTATGAATTTCAGTTTTATATCCCACATATGAGTGAAATCATATGGCTCTTAGCTTTTTCTGACTGACGTACTTTGCTTAGTATAATATTCTCAAGGTCCATTCATGCTTTAACAAATGGCAGTATTTCGTCTTTTCTTATGGCTGAGTAGTAGTCCATATTATATAGGTGCCATATCTTCTTTATCTAATCCTCTATTCAACGACACTTTGGTTTTCTGTATGTCTTTGTCACCATGTTTATGAAGCAAATAATTTTTGACAAAGGAGCCAAAAAACACATGGAGAAAAGAAAGCGTCTTTATTAAATGATACTGGGAAAATGGGAAAGCCACATGCAAAAGAGTGAATCTAGACTACAGTTTGTCCCTATATACAAAAATTAATTCAATATGTATCAAAGACCTATGTATAAGATATGAAACAATAAATTACATAGAAAAAACCATAGGTACTAAACTTATAGACCTTACTCGTAGAGAACATTTTATGAATTTGACCCCAAAGGCAAGTGAAGTAAAGGCAAAAATAAATAAATGGACTATATAAAAATAAAAGGCTTCTGCACAGCAAAAAAAAACTGCCAACAAAACAAAAAGACATCCAACCAAATGGGAGATGTTTGCAAACAACAGCTCTGACAAGGGGTTAATATACAAAATATATGAAGAACTCACATGGCTCAATACCAAACAAACTATCCAACTAAAAAATGTGCAGAGGACCTGTGCAAACACCTCTCACAAGAAGATCTACAAATGGCCAACAAATATATGAAAAGATGTTCAACTTCACCAGCTGTTAGGGAAATGCAAATCAAAAATACAATGAAATACCACCTCCCACGGTTAGAATGGCTGTTATCAACAAATAGGTAATAACAAGTGTTGGAGAGGTTATGGAGAAAAAGGAACCCTCACTCACTGCTAGTGGGAATGGAAACTGGTACAACCACTGTGGAAAACAGTATGGCAGCTCCTCATAAAATTAAGAATAAGGTTACCCTGTGACCCAGAAACCCCTCTCTGGGTATCGACCGAAAAACTCAAAAACATTTATTCACAAAGACATATGCATCCCTAAGTTCATTGCAGTATTATTCATGGTGCTATTTTCTTTATGTGGATTTAATGTATAGATGGAAATCACTGATAATTTATGATATACATGCAGAGTGTCTCAAAAGACATATACACACTGTAACAGCTGGTAGCTCAATTTTGAAAATTAAATGTATTTTAATAAACACTGCCTTTATAATTATTCAAAGTGTGTGTATGCATTTATATATAAAAGTATATATACTTCTCTCTCTCATTACATAGATATATGTAAAGTAATGGTTTCCTCTTGTTTTTACAGTGTATGATAATGTTACATCAGAAACATAGCAAGAATAAAATGGAATTCTGTCAGATTCCAAAACAGAATAGGTGCCTGTTCTATAGTACAGTGTACACAATTAATTAAGAGATGTGCGTCGGAGCATTTGTTTAGTGGCTGTCTTGCCTTATGCTCCATGACTGACATAATCTCTCTCAGTGTTTATATGTGAAGAGTAAGGAAGTGATTCGAGACAGTGACCAAGCAGAGTTATGAAGAGCCACGCGAGGGACAATGGCCATCACTGATCATTTACGATGGGCTGTATGTCAAGGATGCATGTCTG